TAAAACTTCGTCTATACTCTAATAAAAAGTTCCCCAGACCAAAGAGGTCACCTTAATACCAAAAAAAAAAAAAATAATAATAATTATCAAAAAATAAAAATAAAAATAAAAATAATAATAATACTGTAATACAGTAATAATAATAATACAATATATAGTATTTGTAAATTACAAAAAATTGTTAAAAAAACAAAGCTTAAAATTTTTATGTTTTATTTTTTTTTTTTAATATTTAAGGTAAACAAAGCTTAAAAATTAAAAAAATACAATGCTATTTTTATTAAATATAAAAGTTATTTTTAAAAAACAAAATATTATTAAATTGTAAAAAAATAAATAAATAAATAAATATAAAGTTTGATATACTGTATATGAAAATATAAATATTCAATTTAGTGTTTTAACTCAGATCAGATCAACTCTAGGTAGGCCAAATATCCGGGTTGTGGTTATGCTACCTGGATGGATGTGTACAGGTCAACCTATAAGTTATTTGTCAGATCACCTGTAAATTAATCCATCGATCCTATAATAATTGACCAATTAAAATTAAAATACAAATTAAACTTTAAAATTTAAGCTAATGTAATATTTCTGAGACTTGGTGCCAGATATGCGAAATCGATTAGATAATATTCAAGAAATTGTTAGTGCGACCTGGTTATATAGAAAAGAATATAATTAAGTTACTGCATAGTTCTAAAAATTAGTAATCGTTCACCCAGATCAAATGGGTTATCTAGACTCAGGTGAACTTGTTGATTCACTTGGAGTAATTCTTCGATATTAGTTTGAATTAGGGTTGGGTTCGGCTACGAACGACTACGATCGACTATGCAGATTAAATGATTTTTTTTTTTTACAAGTTATTAATTAAAATTGTTTATATGTAAATTTTAGTCATAGTTACTTCTAAGATAAATTCAAAACACCTTCTCTAAAATTCAAAAAAACTCATTATCGGTTACGCGGTCAGCCAAGCTGTTCAATAACCGATGATGAATTTTAAGATTTTGAATTTTAGAGAAGGTATTTTAAAATTTACCTTATAACTATGGCTAAAATTTACCTCTGAACAACTTTAATTTAATGAGATTAAAAAAAAATCATTTCAAAATTTAGCAATTTGCTTATAGTGATCGTAGCCGTTTATAGCCGAACCCATCCCTAGTTTGAATCCTGGCTCCATCATCGTCAACTAAAGCAATATTTTCCTGGTCGATTTCCAAATGTTTATCGTTATAAAAAATAAATAGGTTTAGAAATTAATTTCCGGCCAAAATTACACAATGCAGGCCGATCTGGGACATTTTTTAACCCTATAAAATGGACGATCTCAAAACGTTATATACTCTTTATGACTTTGATTCAAGATGCCGTCGTTAGTGTCATACGCATTGGTATCAATTCTATTCACAATTTCTTACTTTTTTTCGTTGCTAGCAATGTTATTACCAAATTGGTGAGTTGGTATCTCGATTTGAAGAATTGTTGTCACAGAAAAAAATTTGCTTTCCACTGATCATTAATTTTTGATTTCCTACAAACGAATTAGGCTTGTCTTTTCAACTCGGAGTAGGCCTTTTCGTACAAGCGTATATTATGGTCTATTTAAGAAATGTACAGGATATAATGATACATGCCGCCCTTTCCCATCTGTGGATCAACATGATTGTAATGAACGCAATTTTTGTGAGGAGTGGGAGGCTGCCGCCATTGGAATGATTCTTGCTGCTGTCGTTGGTGGACTGGCCTGGTTACATTTGGTATCAGTTCTAGTTGGTGGCAGAGCGATGAGAGAAAAAGCATGGAAAATATTATCAGTTCTGTTCTTTGTATACGGTATAAGAAAATTCGATTCAGTTCGAGCTTTGATCAAATTAGTACCTCATTCACTAATAACAAATTGCTATTATTTGCCAGCTATTCTGCAATTTTCGAGCATTGCTTTTATTGCACACCTTTATTCAACGGCGGATACATTTTATTATGGAACCAAATACGATGTTAGTTTTGTGCTTGCTAATGTATCCGCATCATTGAGCATTGTGCTCGGAATCACTCTGTTCATGAATGGATTGCTATCGCCACCGGAGTATATGCACATATAATTTATGTTTTATCAGCGTTAGTACAATTTTCGGTTTATATTTGTATTTTGAATCAATATTTTGATCAATTTGCTTAATTTCGTTGTACCTTCAAACTTCCAAACACAGAATGAAATTGTTCGAACAAGAAAGTAGGAACCATTTCTCTCAAGAATTTTGCATTTTCGCATTTAACACTAATTACTTTGAATCGCTGATAGTTCATATGTGTGAGTTCAGTAAAATCCTTAAATATTTGGATTATAATGTAGGATACTCGCCGATGATATTTATTTTGATTCTATACTACTCATTTCCTCATTAAATTTATTTGCCATATCCTATGACAGATGAGAACTTTGTCAATTTTAAATCTATCGATTAATAAAAATTAATATAACTGAAATGATTTATGTAATGACGAGCGAGTAATTATGATCTTTGAATTGAGAACTGTTTCCGATTTTTAATTCCATCGATTAATAAATGACATTTCATACTCACAGGCTAAATCGTGATAAGTAGATATTTATGATCTTAACTTGTGAATTTTGTTTTTTTTTCAATTTAATTTCACCGATTAATAAATAATCTTTTTCGAATTAGATGATTTACAGTATACGCAGTGGTAAAGAGGTATTTATAATTCTGATTTGTGAACTTGTTTCCACCGATTAATAAATAAGATCTGTGATCATTTCAGGTTCATTTGGACCCAACCCAGGTTCAAATGAACCTATTCCGAGTTCATTGAGCTCATTCAGATTCATTTGAAGTACGACCTAGCACAAACGAACTCATTACGAAGCTCATCACCCATTTCTTCTGATAACCGATGCTAAAATAATTAGGTATTTTAAAAATTATTGACAAGCTGAAATAGTAGACTCATTGAATAAAACTGTCATTTCATACTTCGCATACAATAGCCATATAATATATTCAGGGTTGGCCAAATTACTGGTCGACCAAAAATTCATTGGTCAAACTGGTCCGGTCAAATTGGTCAAATGG